GGGGGGTTGGCCTGGGTGACCCACAGAGGTCCCTTCCAACCCCTACCATTCTGTGATTCTGTGATTCTGTGAATTTAAGACTCGATGCTCCTCTCCGGAGCAGTTTCATGAGGACCAGACCTTGGGGAAACTGGAAGCGGAGCAGCAGCTTCTTTATGCAGTCCCCATCCCCTCAGCAAAAACCATGCAGCAGTTCTCCGAGCTTGGTAGCCAGTGGCAACAGCCCAATGAAATGAATAGGCTGTCACGCTAAGCGCTGAGAAATCTAACGATTACATTTTACAATTCCCTTTTTCTTTCCAGCACATGTTCATTTAAAGGTAATGCTCTCCGGGGTTTGCATTCTGCTGATAGGATAGCGGGATCTTAATTTACAGATATTCTCCGGTAATGCGCGGTTTATATACGTTCTGCTAATAGCATTATGAGCATAGTTTGGACTAATACAAAATTAGAGCTCTGATTTGCATAAACAAATTACTGTTTGGATTAGCACTAAATGGGGAAGACGACTGATATTTGAAGAGACTTGATTTGGCTGCAGCGGCTCTGTTTGTATAACGGCGTATGCGCGAAAACGAGCTGGGTGGCTCCACGCGGGTTGGGAGGGAGGTGGGACAGAGCAGGAGGTGCTGGGTCATGAACCGGAGGGGTTCTTGGTGGCGGATGAGCCCCTCTGGTCCATATTTGTTCCCAGGGTATCACTTCAGAGCTTCCTGATTGTGTTGGGTTTGCGTGGCAAGGTTTTGGTAGCGGTGAGGCTGCAGGGGTGGCTTCTGTGAGAAGATGCCAGAAGCTTCCCCCGTGTCTGGTAGAGCCAGTGACTGCCAGCTCCAAGATGGACCCGCCACTAGCCAAAGCTGAGTGAGTCAGCAACGGTGGGAGCGCATCCGTGATAATGTATTTAAAAAGGCGAAAAAAATGCTGCCCAGTAATACCTGGAAGAGAGGAGTGAGAATATGTGAGAGAACCAACTCTGCAGACACCAAGGTCAGTGGAGAAGGAGGGGGAAGAGGTGCTCCAGGTGCCGGAGCAGGGATTCCCCTGCAGCCCGTTCTGAAGACGGTTGGGCAGGCTGTGCCCCTGCAGCCCATGAAGGTCCGTGGTGGAGCAGATACCCGCCTGCAGCCCATGCAGAACCCAACACTGGAGTAAGTAGATGTGCCCAAAGGAGGCTGTGAGCCCATGGAGAGCCCGCGCTGGAGCAGGCTCCTGCCAGGACCTGTGGACCCATGGTGGACCCACACTGGAGCAGTCTGTTCCTGAAGCACTGCACCCCATGGAAGGGACCTGTGCTAGAGCAGTTGGTGAAGAACTGCAGCCCATGGGAAGGACCCACATTGTAGAAGTTTGTGGAGGACTGTCTCCCGTGGGTGGGACCCCACGCTAGGGCAGGGGAAGAGTGTGAGGATGAAGGATCAGCAGAGTCAACATGTGATGAACTGACCGCAACCCCCATTCCCCGTCCCCCTGCACTGCTTGGGGGGAGGAGGGAGGGAATATGGGAGTGAAGCTGAGCTTGAGAAGAAGGAAGGTGTGTAAGCTTCCCCCGTGTCTGGTAGAGCCAGTGACTGCCAGCTCCAAGATGGACCCGCCACTAGCCAAAGCTGAGTGAGTCAGCAACGGTGGTAGCGCATCCGTGATAATGTATTTAAAAAGGCGAAAAAAATGCTGCCCAGTAATACCTGGAAGAGAGGAGTGAGAATATGTGAGAGAACCAACTCTGCAGACACCAAGGTCAGTGGAGAAGGAGGGGGAAGAGGTGCTCCAGGTGCCGGAGCAGGGATTCCCCTGCAGCCCGTTCTGAAGACCATGGTGAGGCAGGCTGTGCCCCTGCAGCCCATGAAGGTCCGTGGTGGAGCAGATACCCGCCTGCAGCCCATGCAGAACCCAACACTGGAGTAAGTAGATGTGCCCAAAGGAGGCTGTGAGCCCATGGAGAGCCCGCGCTGGAGCAGGCTCCTGCCAGGACCTGTGGACCCATGGTGGACCCACACTGGAGCAGTCTGTTCCTGAAGCACTGCACCCCATGGAAGGGACCTGTGCTAGAGCAGTTGGTGAAGAACTGCAGCCCATGGGAAGGACCCACATTGTAGAAGTTTGTGGAGGACTGTCTCCCGTGGGTGGGACCCCACGCTAGGGCAGGGGAAGAGTGTGAGGATGAAGGATCAGCAGAGTCAACATGTGATGAACTGACCGCAACCCCCATTCCCCGTCCCCCTGCACTGCTTGGGGGGAGGAGGGAGGGAATATGGGAGTGAAGCTGAGCTTGAGAAGAAGGAAGGTGTGTGGGGAAGGTGTGTTAAGATTTGGTTTTATTTCTCATTATCTTACTCTGATTTTTAATTGGCAATAAATGAAATTAATTTCCACGAGTCAAGTCTGTTTTGCCCATGACGGTAATTGCTGAGTGATCTCCCTGTCCTTATCTTGACCCAGTGACTTTCATTGGTAATTTTTGTCCCCCTGTCCAACTGAGGACAGGGAGCGATGGAGTGGCTTGGTGGGCACGTGGCGTTCAGCCAGGGTCGACGCACCACACTCATCGCTCAGAAGCATAACGGCATCACAGCTCCCAACCCATTGCCATCCCTCAGCTTCCCTGCAGGGTTTGTGGATGTAGGGGAGAGATGGGGAGCTGGAGGTGGATCTCCAGTGCTGCCTGGCCAACCCCACTCACATCCCAGCATCTGCTCGAGGTGATAGATGGGGGGTGATGACTCATCCCATGCAGGGATGTAACAAAACCCTTGCAAGAACCAGCTTTAGGGAGGAAAATAATAATATAAAACTTATAAAACCAAAGAATAATGATAATGATGACACCAAAAATATCAAAGCCTGTAGAGCTCCGTAAAACTTGGCTAAGCTCAGGGGAGGTCCCACCTTGCTGATTCCCTCATGGGATTGCATCCACATTTCTTGCTCTGTTTGCTGCTAGGGTTGGAGCTTCAATCCAAGGGTGTGAGATGGGTCATCAGCCCCATCTTTGTGGGCTCACCTGGATCCCATTTCGGATCCACCAGGCTGCCTGTTAAGAAGCCACATGCCAGGAGTGCGGATTGAAGCTCTGCCATGTGCGGGGCATTGGGGTCAATTAACGGGCACAAACTGAAGCACAGGAACTTCCAGCTGAACATGAGGAAGAACTTCTTCATTCTGAGGGTGACGGAGCCCTGGAACAGGCTGCCCAGGGAGGCTGTGGAGTCTCCTTCTCTGGAGATATTCAAGACCCGCCTGGACAAGGTCCTGTGCAGCCTGCTGTAGGTGACCTGCTTCGGCAGGAGGGTTGGACTGGATGACCCCCAGAGGTCCCTTCCAACCCCTACTATTCTGTTACTCTGTGATTCTGTGGGTCGATGGCAAATACCCGCGGAGTTTAGGGACAAACACCTTAGCTGTGTCCTAGCAGGCTACGATTGGGTGGGAACCTGACCTTTGGCGCCTGGTCTTTTCTCCTGCGGCATTTAGATTGGATATTAGGAAAAAATTTCTTTACTAAAAGAGTTGTGAAGCATTGGAACAGGCTGCCCACAGAAGGCATGGAGTCACAGTCCCTGGAGGTGTTCAAAAAATGTGTCGATGTGGCACTTTGGGACATGGTTTAGCAGGCATGGAGGTGTTGGGTTGATGTTTGGACTTGGTCATCTTAGAGGTCTTTTCCAACCTTAAGGACTCTGTGATTCTATGATTGCCGTGGGCGATCGAGGGGAAAGAAATGGCTTGATTCCTTGAAGGTTGTTTTTGTAGGTGTAAATCATAGGGAATCAGATCTTCTTCTCTATCTACAGCAGGAGCATCCCTGGTTCTTCCCTGCACCACCTCCATCCTCAGGCAGCTGAGGGTTTGCTCAAAAAGCAGCAGCTCCTTGCGATGTCTTCCCTAGTTTGGGCTTACCTTGACTTTATTGTTTCCTTGCAGATCCCCTCTATTAAACCAAACGCGGCCGTCGCCTCAGGGCGGCAAATCCCAGCACGTGCAGCAGAGATGGAGGAGCAAAGGCTATCGCTGCATCGGCGGGGTGATGTACCGAGTGTCAGCCAACAAACTCTCCAAGACTTCCAGCACCCCCGGCCGAGGCCGAGACCTGAGCACCAAGAGCCCCGGCAGAGCAGGTGAGCGGCAAGAATTTCTCCCGATCCGCATCCGAAATCCAATGACATCCCAGCTTCGGTTTGAGAAAATTGAGGTTTTTTCTTAACTCAGGCTTAGTTCAAGCTTGTAGAGATGCGCCGTTGAGCTGGTTTCTGTTTTTAACCTGAGCAAAGTCTCGGGCAGCTTCAAACGGCGCCGCAAGGTGAAACGTGTTTGAGATCCTCATCAAATGACATTCGATATTCACCTAAGAAAAGCTGGGAGGTCCGTTCTGCACATAGCTATGAAACAGGCATTTGGGCATAGTTACCGGCTTTACGTTTAGCTTCAAGTAAATTTGTGTTTCGGCTCCTCTTGTACTTGATGCCTCAAGTGTGGCTTTTGAGCAAGACCAGGTTTTTAACTCTGCTTAAAGTATTTCTTCGAATTTCTACTCAGGGTCAAATATTTTTGCTCCGTAACTGCTTTATTGACAAGTTCTAGGGACAGTTAAGGTGGGAAAGACGAAGCCAATGGCTTCGTGCTGTTGTTTTTCTTTGCTGGAAGGGTGAAGGGTGCAGAGACGAGTATGTTCGTGGATGATGCTATAAATGAGGCAATTTAGTGCCAAAGTCATTTTATGTGCGGTGGGAAAGTGGATGAAGAGAGGCAATAAATAGCACGGTGTCGTTGAGAGGTGTGGCCTCTGAAACTGCCAGCAGCCAGATTCACAGAATCACAGAACGGTGGGGGTGGTAAGGGACCTTTGTGGGTCATCTAGTCCAACCTCCTGCCAAAGCAGGGTCACCCAGAGCAGGCTGCACAGGACCTTGTCCAGGCGGGTCTTGATTATCTCCAGAGAAGGAGACTCCACAGCCTCCCTGGGAAAACCTCCTAATTTTCCTCCTGCTTTTCAAGCTTCTCAGGGCTACTCAGCTCTCCTGCTGATGGGATTTTTGGGCCTGCGCAAAGCTCCTTCCATCCGTAATCTCTGTTCTTCATGGGTTTAAAACTACGTGGGATGCCCCAGAACACTCACACGAATGAGGAGCTACTGGAGAGAGTCCAGCAGAGGGCTACAGAATCAGAGAATCACAGAATGACAGAATGTTAGGGGTTGGAAGGGACCTCTGTGGGTCATCTAGTCTAACCACCCAGCCGAAGCAGGGTCACCTACAGCAGGCCGCAGAGGACCTTGTCCAGGCGGGTC